GTCCTCTTTTTAGATTGATTTTTGATTTGTCTTGGAGGGGGAGCATTGTTATACCTTTAGTATTAGGCAGACAGAGATGCAACAAAGGTCCCTCACTGGACTTCAACTGGACCAACTTGATAGTTCATGGTTGGCATCTTACTACAGGTTTACACTTTTCAAGTCTGTCATAAAACAGTAATCACATACCCATGTCCATTTATGTACACTGAAACAGGTTTTGATCACTATAATTATTCATCTAGCCTAACATGTTTGCAATGGAAGAGATGGGGGATGAAATCCACATTCTGTGCAAAAGCATGATCAAAAGTTTATCTGCAGCTAATATTAGGCTTAGGTGGAACTAGGCAAATAAAATGGATATCTTCCAAAGTTAGTCTTTTGGTATGAAATTCCTATTCTTTGCTTGCACTTACATTGTTTCCTTGTTGAGCTGTGGCAGAGGAAGAGTAACCTATCCTTTAACCCCTGAGCGACAGAGGCGTCCCCACAAGTTTTACTTCTCCAGTGCTTTGGTTTGTGACCATATTTTTGCTACAAAGCAGGGCGTATGTTAGAACGCTCTTCGGCTCCCTTGTTGTTTTTATTTGTAAAGAAGTAAAATATTAATGTCCAATTATTCTTTTATACCTGTTTGTCACCTATGGTATTTGGGTTGCTACCCATCACTACAGAGCAGAATCCCTTACATTTAGACCTCTATTGTAAAACTCCCTGAATGTATAAGAAACTTAAAGCACTGGTTCTCAAACTTTTAAACATCAAGGTGAGGACCCTTAAACTGACACAAATTAGACCACGGACCCCCATCTGATAAGATTTTCTCTTTTAGATGTTTTATTACATAAAGTGTTTGAAACCCATGGCCAAAACATACATACATTCTGTCATCGTGTTACTTATAGATGGAATTATAGTGAAAATAAATGATTCTCCTTTTTGCTGGGACCCCCAGGAAAAGGCCAGTTTTTGGTTTGTCCAATTTGGGCTACTGTAGAAACATGGCGGTGTAAAATGGTGGGCTCTGTGAAAGAGGACCAGCTCCCTATGTTGATATGAAGAGCTCATTCCAAGCTAATGAAGACACAACAATTTTTAGTTTCAGGTGATTATAGACTAATGAAAACATAATTATGAATATTATATCCTACACACTGGTCTTTTAAAGGGTGAAAACAACCTTATTTCTAATTCTGCAAACTAAAGTGAGTATTGTATATTCATCAATTCTTTGATCTGATTTCAAAGCACACACACGGACACACAGCTGTCTTCAGCTGTGCATGTGACTGTGTATGATCTGGAGCGTGTGTGGTGCTGCTTCTGCAGTCACTGTGGTAATTACTGAGTGTGTGTCACTGTTGAGCAAGATGCCAGCTTACGTACTCCATCATGAAAAAAAAAAAATTATACACACAAAAACACAGACACATACACACACAGCAGACCTAGGGCAAGGTGCAGGTGCAGCAGAACCAGTCTGTGCAGGGTAAGAGGAGGTAGAGATGGAGGAGGAGGAGGGCAATGACGGACAAACTAATGAAAAGTAGCATTGAAATCCCTGTTCGGCAGCTGGACACCAAACACGACTCAACAGCAAAGTGATCACATCCTTGATCGCGGGTTAAAGGTGACAGTGACAGGCAGAGCTACAGGTGAGGTAAATAAACAGTCCGGTTCAGGCTGCAGTTGAATGTGATGCAAGAAGCAGCCGAGAGCTGTCAGAAACAGTTTAACTGTGGTGAATCATAATCATTGACAGCAGATTTAAAGACATGATCATGAGAGCATGTTATATTTCTCCAATACAGTTCATGAGCCGAACAAGTTGCTGCAATTATTACCTTCACTAACGACGTTATGTTTTCACCCTGAGTCTGTTTGTCTGTTTGTTTGTTTGTTTGTCAGCAGTTTTACACAAGAAGTACTGAACAGATTTGCAACAAACTCAGTTCAGGGATGGGGCACGGGCGAGGAAAGAATGCGTACAATTTTGGTGTGGATCCAGTTAAAGGGGCGGATCCAGGTTTATTTTTTTTCACTTTTCCTTAAAGTGCAAGATAGAGTACTGATTTAACACATGCAGATGAACTCACTAGTCATGAAGAGTGTTACTCTGCCTGTAGAAACAGCGGTATGACATCTGGCTTGTCCCATACTAGGGGGTAAAAGTCTAGACATCTGCTACAGCTTCTGCTGCTTTCGATTTTTAAGAATCTGCCTCTTCGGAGTTGTTTAAAGCTCCATATTTTCCTCTTCTCCTGTGTTTTATTTGAAGTGTTGATCCATTAGAAGATGTATTTGTGGTTTTAAGAACCAAAAACCATCTCAGTGTAGTTTTACATCTCCTCTCTCAGGCTTCTCTCTGGAGCTCTGGTAACAACAGGCCCGTGAGCCAATCAGAAGAGAGGAGGCTCTGAGCCTCTCTTCTGATTGGCTGACTGTTTTCTGAGTGATCTAATAAAATTATAGCAGATTTCAGGTAAACACTCAGAGACCACAAATCCTGCAAGGTTGTATGGTGGGTCCAGGTGGGCGGGGCTTGGGGCATGGCTGAGATCAGTAACTGCTTTGTTGTGACATCACAAAGTTTTAAGGCTCAGTTTCTGAATACAGGCTGTGTGCATTTCTCTGTGGACTGAGCACTTTGATACTTTCACAGTATTAATATAGAACCTAGACCTGATCTATAATCAAACAACACATGGACATCTACCTTTATACTGCATGGGACCTTTAAAGGTGTACCACTAAATCACTGGGCTGTTCCTTTAATAACTGCACTAACCTTATACGTTCAGCCTTTTTCATTTCTGGTTTTGTCTCCTGACTTCCTGTCACTTTCGCCATCTACAGTAAACACAAGAAAAAGTCGCAGCCTGCTATACATTTCTCAAAGCTGGGAGCACACGTCCACATGTATAAACGTGGAGGTCATATGACCTGCTGTGGTGAACTGCTCTGTATATACACTATATATTTGAGCTGCCACCACTTGTTAACAGCAGTAATCTAATTGCTTCCCGTCCTTTGACCCTGAGTGTACCTGCTGCTGTGCGGGGGGTGAGACTGAAGCGTGAGGGTCTGTGGAGGTGTTGAAGACTCCGACACAGTCTACACAGCCCCACACACACACAGCTTTTCCTCAACAGTGCAATCCCGCAGAGCAGACTGGCAGCTCGGAAGCTTGCCTGTACATGCCTGTTCTGTGCTGCTGTCACCACGCCTTCAGCCCCAAACAGCACAATTACCCTGCACTCAGCGAGGGCAGGCAGTGCTGTTTGGCATTGGCCTTAATTTGACTCATTCTGATGAATCTGTCAACAACCTCAGTTAGACCGTCTGCAGCGCTCTCCTGATGTAAACACAGTAGGCTGTAGTGATCCTATTATGAATCTCACAAAGGTGTTAACACAAGGAAATGAGCTGGTATTAAAATACAAACATGACAGTCAACATGCAGTCAGTATTTGGCAAAGCAGCCACCCGTTGAGCCCCGGTAGGAAGATTATAACAGCAGGGAAGTGTGTCAGATAATAACAACTGTATGAATGTCATGATTCTAATCACCCCGGCCTCGATTCTGTGGAAGAGAAAAGGAAAGCCCTCCCTATAAATGATGAGCGCTTGCTTGTAAATTTGCAGAAGCTGGGAGGAATGAATGGCAGCAGAAAATGGAGTGGAGCCTGCGGAGGAATGCAGAAACCCACCTAACCACCTCCCACAGGCTGCTGGGAGAGCAGGCACACACATGCGACCCAACCGACCGGCCCCAGGAAGAGGTGGCACTCTGCAGTTCAGCTGCAGGCTCACGCTGTGTGTTATATCCTCGACGGGGGTTTTAACTAGACTCCTGTGGTCTGACTGCTCTGACATCCTCCTGAGTTAAACACATAAATGAACAGTACAATGGGCTGACGTCAGCTTTTACTGAGCTTGTTGAAGTTTTTTATTGTATCTAATCTCCACAGATATCCCTGTAATACTGTATTATGTTCATGTAAACTCTTGGTGTCCACCTGCAGAATTTAATGCTAAACTACAATTAAAGAAAACTGTAATTATGTATATTTTGTTGATAATCTGGCTCTAATATCTGTATCTGTCTTCATTTTATAATTTGATCATTTTTAGAAGGAGTTCCCACACCTTCCTAATAATAACTTTAAGAACATTTTTCTTTCTCTTGACCTGCACTGTGACATCAGCATTGACAAAAACATGAAGCATCAGAAATATTATTAAGGATGCAGAGCAGGGGTTTAACTGGTGTGTGAACCTCCTCCTAGTAAAGATTTCTTAGTTTCCAGTTTTCTTTTCTTGTCTTTATTGCCCTTTAGAAGATTACTAGCTCATTAAAGTTTTAATGCTTGCACTAAAAAACTCTTCATTCTCTCTACTGGGTCTCCACATCATTTCCAAAATGTAGATTCACCAGAGCAGCTTCTCTCTAATGGGGTTGAGGGGCGTCAGGGGGACAAAACAGACACAGACCTGGTCACTTCGAAACCAAAAAAAAAATACATTTCACACCAACCTTATGAACGTTTTTCTTCAGGCTGTAAATGAACGTTATTGTCATGTTTCCATCTGCCATTAAATATATATTATTTCATACATAAAACCTATTTTTTATAAGCAAAATGCAATTTTCATTTTCGATGAAGAATATGAAATTTCGCCAATATGCGTAAAACCTGCCCTTTCCCAAAAAGAACATGTGCGTTTTCACTTGTTGACTTTTTTTTTTTGTAATGGGGGATGTAGCGGTGTTTGTAAGTTATTAAATATGGGGGAGAAAGAAAGAAAGAGAGCGCGTGAGTGTGGATGGTTAACAATTAACCTGAGCGGGAAAGAGGACATAGGAGGAGGAGGATGTGAAGATGAGGAGGAGAAAGAGAACAGGTGAATGATAAGAGTGGAGGTGAAGAAGAGTGAGGGATGTGCTCCCCTCTGTAGAGCCAGGATCAGGGTTAGATATGTGAAGTCCAACTTACAGCCAGTTACTCGCGTTGGCGGAGAGGAGCGCACAGCAGAGCATCAGGACGCACCGCAAAACATATTCCTCGGTCATCTCGAGAGGGAGGGAGGGGTGGTGGGTGTCGGTGAGAGTTGAAATAATCCCGAGCTGGACAGCGGTGAGAAAAGAAAAGGAAAGCGGCGGGGTCCGGAGAAGGCTGTTAATCCATCATCATCCCGCATCCAGTGGATCAGCCACCGGGGAGGCGCGCAGCTCCGCGATCCGTCCGCCCGGTTCTCCCGTCCCTCCCTCTGCACTCAGAAGGGACGGGGAGAGGGGGAAGAAGGAGGGATGCTAAAAATACGGTCAAAACTCTGGAGCCGCTCGGGCTGAATCGGACCCTTCTTCTTGATCAACTTGTTTGCTTTCCTTCTCAGCTGCGCGTTAACGTGAGCCGGGAGAGCGCGTGGGGAGGCAGGCAAATAAAAGCCAAATGAACGCGAGATCACGGGCGGTTCTTCTGCTTCTTCTGCTTCTTCTCCTTCTTCTTCTTGTTTTTCCTCTTCTTCTCCTTCTCTTTCTCCTTCTTCCTCCTCCTCCCTAAAGGCTTATCACCCGCTGCCGGGTCCCGCTCTCAGACAAGCGGGGCTCTGCTGTCTGCGCGCCGCGGGCTCTCCAACTCTCCTCCGACACATGCACACAGTCTGAGCGTAAATACGCACGGCTCCTCCTCACACACCACCGTCTCTCGGTGTGTCTGGCAGAGCAGAGAGTGTGTGCGCTGACTTTAGTTGAGGGGCGGTGCGAGGATATAGAGGTATGGCAGCGAGATGGGAGTTTTCTGGGGATGAAGGAGGCGGGTTTAGTGAGCTGCGAAGGTACTGTGTGTGTGTGTGTGTGTGTGTGTGTGTGTGTGTGTGTGTGTGTGTGTGTGTGTGTGTGTGTAGACGGGACTTTGTGTGTGTTTTAGAGGTCTCCTGGGAGGATGCAATAGCACAGCCATTCACTAATGCCCTCCCCAGTCACCCTCCACTCCTCTCCAACACACACATAAACACGCTCTCTTTCACACACACACACACACACACACACACACACACACACACACACACACACACACACACACACACACACACACACTTCTTGGCAGCACCTCACTCTCTCTGTCACACACTCAACCAAATATTCTGCGGTCAACAGGCTATTTAAAGCTTGGCTGCAAAACGTCTGCATTTGAAACCAGCAAATCCCAATAATATGACAAATGTCAGCTACACACTATTGATTGATGAAAACGTTGTAGGAGGATAATAAGGTGAGGCAGCCATGCTGGCCTCATGTAACACCGCCGAGGACTCCATATGACTCACCTGATCCTGGCCTGAGGTGGAGGGCTGAAGGCTGTAAGATGATATTTAAAATTATTTACATAACAAAAGCTTTTCAATATGAAAAAAAACACACATGTAGTTATTTATTGTAGGAGAATCAGCGCTGCCTGAGTCCGTCGCTACAAATGACTTTTTTTCTTCAAACCCACAGGACTTTATTTTTAACCGCAGTGAGGATCCCAAAGTTTCCAAATATACCGAATATGTCAGACTGAATTATGAGGAAAGGTGTATAAAAAGATGCACAAACATGTCGAGTGTTTCTATTTTAAATGCTGTAGCCATAAGAAACACGGCCCCCGGAGTAGAGGTTGAATGTTCATTGAGGATCAGAGAGTAGCTTGAATGAAATGATAAAAGAAGCAGATACAGAGATATCAAACAGATGTTACACAGATGTTACAGATATTAAACAGATATTTTAGAGTAGCTTTAACGGAAGTTTAAAGGTAAAACCAGGATCTAAGACGTTAATAATGATAAATAATAAATGGAGATAAAAGAAGAAAAGAAGACAGAATTTCAGGTGTTTCAAACAGCAGAAATGAAGAGAAATAAGTGCAGATGCATTTAGAAAAAAGGTGGAAAAAAAGAGTAGAAGTAAAATTAAATAATAATAATAAACAATAAGTGTAAAACTTAAAGCAGTGTCATCATAAAGGATTTATAACAGATGTGAGCAGATGTAAATGTATATGAATGTATTTGTCAAGTGGAGGCTGCTGACAGGTGTAGTAATATAAAGTATGTCTTCATAGTAGAAGTTGTATTTGTCAACCAACACTGCACATTAATAAAGACTTCTCACAACTACAATATAATTATAAACCATTTATTAAACATTTATACAGTGATTTTTAAATTCTAAAAAACACAGGACTTAACATGAAGTATATGATACTTGATCATATACTGTACTAGACACCATGTATAATGTACCATGATAGACTCATTTGAGATATCATATTATATATGTAATATAGTAATATATAGTGTATCATATTTCAGTGTAAGCATAAAAGTAATTACAATAATAATACAAACCACAATAACAGTGCACCACAGAATGTAAGTAATAGTATATAACCATATGTATTCATTTAGAAATACTATAATATAGTGTATAATGTAATAATATAGTATACATACACATAAGATATACAAATGTATATATATGTATTGCCTATTTATGCACATACTATATGTACTTTATAATAGGCTACTAATACACTAATACAGCATAAAATATGATATAGTATGCACGAGCTGCCACTTGTTCATATATAAATACATAGTATAAGTAAAGCATAATGTGGCCATGGGAATTAATGATACCATTATCACACCTCACACTTAAAGTTAATATATAATTGGAGACAAGCAAACCAATAAGGTGTTAGCAAAATGCCACGACTGAAGAGAAACATCACAGAACAGAACAAAACCCCCAAAAACAGACATCTTACCTATTCTGTTGTGTTGACCTGCTGACCTGCTGCTGGGCGAGTCGGTACAGAGTCCCGCTGTTCAGCCAAACTTTGTTCAAGCCCACAGAGCTTTGTTTTAAATTCTGAATTCTAGAAGAGAAAAGCTTCCAAAGATACAAACTACGTACGTCAGGCCGAGTTTAGGAGAAAATGATGCACAAGACAAAAAGGAAAAAAAAACACTCAGGTTTGAATATTTCACTGAGTGTGAAGATCATACAGCTCATGTGCAGAACGAACAGGGCGTCATACTGTCACACACTGTGGGATAAGATGACATTTCCCAACCTTAAAGCTGCCTCAGGAGGAGATAAAGAGGAAAACTATATGTTCATGACAACGAACATGTGTTAACATGTGACATCAGAGCTGCTCGCAAACAACACACAGATGTGGAGAGACCCAGAGAAACCTCACAGACAGGAGACGGCAGCAGCAGCCGCTCTTCACACATGGGCTTAGTCTGAAGCTTATGTGTGTGTGTGTTCGTGTGTGGGTGGTGGTGGTGGTGGTGGTGGTTGAGGTTTGGGTTATGTTATGTGTGTGTGTGTGAGTGTGTGTGTGTGTGTGTGTGCGTGTGTGTCGTCTAATCTCATTTCACTTATTGGGTTTTAGGGAGCTAAGAATACACCCTGCTGGGACGAGGCGCTGCAGCCGCGCCACCAGCTGTGTGCAACACACACACACACACACACACACACACACACACACACACACACACACACACACACACACACACACACACACACACTGTAGCATTGAGTAAGACAAGTCATCTGTCTGATTTTGGATACTTAAAGATAAGATAAATGTGTATTGATCCCTGTGGGGAGATTCTGCTGCAGCAGCCAAACCAAATGAATTCAGCAGTGGAAAAAGGCAGAACATGAGCCCAAAAACAGAGTATCAGCTAAACACTGAAAACAGTAACTGACAAGGGGCTCTAAAGTTTTCTCCTCTGGGCAGAAAGTCTGCAGGTTCTTCAGAGAAAGCCACAGAGTGGAGGCTCCTGGACGGCAGAGCAGGGGCTGGTGTGGGAACCTGCTGACCTACATTCTCTGTTGTCAGTTTCTTCCAAACTTGTGCTCTCGCTGAACCCGTGTCTGCTCCGCAGTGAGACGGATGGCACCTGCACCGAGCTCAGGGGAGTGTGTAAAACTCACAGCGCATTACAGAGAGAGCAGGAGAGCTGCCGCCGCCGAGTCTGCTGCCGCTGCGAAGGCTTCGGCGTCAGGTGAATTGAAGAGGACGACTCACCGGTGCATCCAGGTCGTTTCCCCACAGGTCACCTGCCTCAGCTCTGCTGCTGATTGGCCAACAGAGGGGGGAAGTGAGTAAAGGAGCTTGTTGATGATCAGCAGGGAATCACAAATTCATAGACTGCTCTTACATAACCGAACTGTACCCCATTTACACAACCACCATGTTATACAGCAGAGGCTGAAACAGCCATATTTGTGAGGGAGAAGTTTGTCAACTGGAAACAAATAAAAGCCTCATGTTATATATGAAGTTAACCCCTTTCATGGTCTCACCAACAGAAGAAAAACAATGGATTTTTTTCCTTTGTTCCTTTGGGAAATAACAACAAAAATCAATTATTAACCAGCCAGATTTTTTTTTTTTTTAAATTATGAGCATCTACCAAACAGTAGAGATTTCCACTGACAGTGGTTGACAAAAGTCAACAACCTGCACCTTTCTCCATGAAAGTGACATAAATGTGTTTTAGTGCACATCTGTTTCCGTGGTGTATTTCAAACATTTCACGCGTGACATAAGCATGAAATATCTACTAAAGACAAATATATTAAATGATGTAATTGTCATAAAAAGGAAATAATCATATAATCTGCTTCAGTCTTTGTCGAGCCTCATGAGACGTGTTCATCTGAGTTCTGAGACACTAGAACAGCATTTGAGTGACGAATCTTCTTTTTGTGTTTAAAAACAAAAACAATAATTCCTGTAAGTGCTCTCTAATGTGTGATGAAATAACATTGTATTTATTGTACCGACAGATAATAATCAGAAGCATTATTTCTAATCAGTTTGTGTTGTCAGGAGAACCACCTCAACCATCAATGGACATTTCTACCGATCAGCAGGTTTTTAAATAATTATTCTTTTTTTTTTCTTTTTTTCTTCAGTTTACATACAAAAAAAGTCTGATGTTAACTTCCACGAAGCCGCCTGAAAACATCTGATTCTGGTTCTTTATTTTTTCTCTTTTTTT